GTAAAGCTAAGTAATAGAAAGAGCATCGAAACACGAGGCTATCTGATTTGTCAGATTGCTCAGATTGCCGAGTGTTTTGATGTTCTTTCTCTTTTGTATCATAGTCAAACATAAAAAGACGTTCCATGTTGTCACAATATGAAACCCCGGAGAAAAATAACCAATGAACGAGCATCTTAATATGATATTTATGTCGTTTTCTCTTTCTCTACCGTCACAATAAGTAAACCCAAGAAAAAATAAGCCAATCATTGCTCTGTCCAGAGTGCGGGTAACTAATACCTGCACACCAGTAAACGCACGGTGCATGTATATGTATACGATTTAACTCGGGACACATTTTCAACAGAAAGGTCCCCAAACTATGATACAAGAGATGCATAGACTTCAGTAATTTAGTTGTCTCTTACGATCACGCAAGGTTAAATGGTTGATGCAATTATGATGCCTTAACCTTTTAGAGCAACCTCTTAGCCACGCGGGTATTAGTACATATGATGAAACATGACATTTAAAAAACATGCGCTGCTGTGTAATGAATACAATGGTAATGATTATGTCCCTTTTGAACAATAACGTGTTCATGCAGCCACATTGAAATATAAGACATTTAATGAAATGAAAGGATAAAGATTTCCCGGTCAGATAAATTTATAGGGAAGGACTGAATATAAGATAAAATTCATTGGTCATTTTAAAATTACAAAATGAAACCTGGGAATCTCAATTGATATTATAAAATAAAATGTAAATGATAGCTCTTGTTATTTTAACTTCTAATCTAATATGTAAAGGATAGTTCTTGCCGTTATAAAATAAAAAAATATCTTCAGTAGTTCTAAATAAAATGTACAGGATACTTTTGTAACTGTCTATATAAATTGCTCAGATATTTAAGTTCTATTTCTTAACTCTTCCTCCCACAAAATGTTTTACACTGCATTCAGATCTCATTACATTTTACAGTGAATAGTTTATGTTACGCAATAACTTGCCGAGGTTATTTTACACAAGATCTTAGTCCTAAATTTTGTCCAAAGTAACGAGAATAATATCAAAACTTATCTAAGTGCCCTAAGTTTATAATGCTTCATATATGTCTTTATGGTCAGAAACAAAATGGAGTTAATCTACCTTATTGTTGAGCTGCCTGACAAGAATGTGGACAATTTGCATATTTCTAGGGTAGACAATTCTCAATAAGCAATGTTTCATTTTGACTGCATTTCATGAAGTTCATTTCCATTTGAGCGATTTTGTAAAATATCAAAAAATTGTTAAGAACTAGTTTTTTTCTTTTTGTTTACTTCAAGTGACATTATGCCCACCCAAGAGTATATAAAGAGTAAATAGGTGACATTAAAACAGTTCATAACTTGCGATAATTCCTTTCAATTTTATAATTTTCTTCGCACAAACAATAAATAACACATGTGACACAAGGAAATTTCTGTAGTTATCCATCGGAATGTACCTGTAACGTTCATTTTTTTTAAATGAATGTGGCTGTTTATTTATATATATTCCATATAGAAATTGTCCTTAACATTTCATGTAAACTGTTGGTTGGTCACTCACTATTATAAAAGTCAAGTTTTCAAAATGCATAGTCATTTCTGCTCAACTTTACAATAAAAAAATGAACATAATATCACTTTGAAACTATACACATGTTTATTTTAAAGAAATGGGCTATTTTTAAAATGCTTTAAGTCTCCCTATTTGTTTTTAATATATTTTATTTACAGGTATGTATCGTTTTACATCACAATATATATGGATTGGACAACAAGCATAACACAATATTTTTCTTTTCCAAAATGGAGTTTTATCTTTATTGATTCACTTTATATGATTATGTGCATGTTTAAAGTTTCAATATTGATTTAAATTAACATAATTTCGATTTGTTTTATTCGGTTTCGACTTTTGATTCTTTTGTAGAAGATACAAAAAATAATGATAATAATAACAGTTGTGTCACACTGTTTGCAATGGAAATAAGATGTCTTCCTATTTAAACTAAATAAGTGATCACAAATGTTTATTACATTACATATGGTTTAATACTGACTGTGTTGGCAAATTGAAATTAATTTATTCTCTTGCGTACAGAACAGGAAGTTTTATATTTGTATAGTTTGACAAATTCAATGTGTATCGCGTAAATTTTAAAAACAATTTTCAAAATCTAATAAATCAAGTACATGTAAGTTCTCTAGAAATTAAAAACGTCGATGAGAAAAGAGAACGATAAATACTAACATACCAAGTAGGCGATAGATTATTCAATCATTAAATTATAGAACGAATATCAGCCGTCCTGGTGGGAAAACTCAGACAGGTTTTATGTTCCTTACGTTGTTTCATACTATTATGGTGACACTTTTGTGTCCCTTCAAGTTGTTTTCTCGTCTACGCTAAGTATATTTCGTTATGACTCTAGTTATATATTTCTAAATTTGTCCGTCCCATTCCCCGTACTTTAAGTCCCCTTCCCCTGTACCCTTTGACTTTGTAGGCCTATTTATCAATCAATTGTATTTGATTTCATTGTCAGTAACTATTATTTCTTTTTATGTATAAAAGTGATTATCCTGTCCGCGCTTTGCCTTGTGCCCTGTCCTGTTTTTATTTGGGATCATCCTAGTCTCCTTGTTGCTGGGTGGTGTGGGCTGCGTTCATTGAACGACGCCTTTCTTTATTAATCTTGTTTATCTTATTTTATATAAATGTCTAGACAAAATGTAGAAAAACCAGCTAGGTGACTTTTATTTTACAACTTGCCTACACTATTTACAGTTCGATTTATTGCAGCTTCTGAAATATTATGAATACATATAAATGCATACGAATACTTGCTACCCGGTAAATGTATAGATCAACAAAATAATTATACATTGAAAACAACAGACAATGTCTTTAAAAGAATATATCTCACCAAAATTGTATTAAACAACAGGATAAATGTATATTTATCAAGAGGTTTAAGAGGTTTGATAATTTATTCAAATACAGACATTTTTTTTCAACTGTTACCTTAAGGTATTCACAAAATAGTACCGTTTTGTACGTAATGGGTAGGATAAATCACTTTAAAATTGTTAAATTAATAACTCTTAATCATACAAAAAGACCGACAAACTATCGCGCGTGCACTCCTTGTGATAAAATAACTGCTTTGCATCGTCTTTTGAAGCTAACAATCAAAGTTTATTGTGGGGAATTATGTTCCTCTTTTCCATTACGACATAGATCAGGACATTGATGGTCTGCGGCTGCTTAGTTCGGTCTGTAGTTGCAGTATATATCCAATGCATGTTGTATTAATTTTGATTCAGGGAATCTTGCCACTCTGTGCGCTTAATTTCTCCCGTGTCCTGGTACTCCGTGACCACCCTTCGCGAATGAAAAATCATAAATATACAATGTCTTAAACACACTCCGTAGTAGTTCTGGCTTCCAAAACTTTATAAGCCGTTTTCTCAACATTTTTTCTTTCGTTTGATGCGGTACTTAAGTTTTGGATCAGTCCCCTTATGAAACCAAAACAGAATAAGACACGTTGGTGCAACCTTTTTGACATTTGCAAATATCCTTTTTCTAATTTATTTTTGCGCATTATGCGACAAAAATATAATTTCAACATCTTTCTAGACTATTAAAAGTTCATTATAATATTAATACTGTCAATAGCTTTGCATAATCCATCAAACCGGCTAATGTCGACCATGACACTTAGAAGTTACGCAAGACCTAATACGACGTAATTCGTGGGAACCACTTCAAGTACTGGCATGTACTATATTTAAAACATCTTTGTAGACATGACATGATTCAAATAATCAAGATTTCATTCTTTATTTCTATTTTATTTTACAGTATCTAAATTAAATAACAGAATATAAGTCAGCAAATTACCTTTTATGATTATGTAAAAGAAAATATTTTGTAAAAAATCAATAAAAGGAAAAGGTATTGTTTTCGTAACCGTCCACGCATAATTAATAGAACCCTAGGTCAATCTCGAACTCACTCATTTTGAAAAGATGGCGACGAAAAGGTGAATATTTTCACCTATCGGAAATTATTAGGTAGTTTATGTTCGAATAAAGTTTTTTATATGTTGATATTGGCTATTCAATCAATTATATATAATTTTATCAGGTACGCTAAAGACATTCAGAGGCCTCACAAATATTTTCAATATATCGTCATAGTAACGAACACCTTTCAATGCCCATTTTCTGGTTAGGTAAAGACAAAAGGTCCATACCGCCATAATAAGAAACGCCAGCTCAAACAAAGTAATGGATGATGAGGTACATACGCAATGGTTATTTTTAGATGATAAAGGGTACTTTCTTTATTTTTCTGTAAAAACAAATAATGTTTAATTACTGTAGACTTGAAATTGCGACACATGTCCATATCTACTTTTTTCGTCCTTGTATATTTTACCAATTTCCTTCAAATTTGACATGCTCCGATAAGTTAAATATTGGTCGATTTAATACATGAAAAGATAATACAAGATTATGAAAATGCACAATAATCTGTGGATTCGTTTAAATATGTTCTTGTTTTATTTAGAAATCTTAAAAACTATATTGTGTTTAATACTCACATCGCAATTAAGAGTTCGTCAACCTCATCTAATTATAGGTCCATACACCAGTAGTGGATCAACACTAACTATTTTGATATTTCTGTAAATGTTGCTTTCAGTTTTTATTAGACATTCAGGACAAAGCTCGAAGCATTTCTTTTCAATAAAATCAATGATACAAGGAATGACAATGACTTCTAGTCTTTGAAATTTCAAACGGAAAAAAGTTTTGATTAACACAAAATGACCATTTAATCATGAGATATATAATCAGTCATAGACTGAATATCTAATATATTTCAGCAATACGGCAATTATGTCTTACTTTTTTCAGAACCTTTGGTGATAGGGAATGTATATCAGACACTCATTACAATACAAATTCATAATTTCTAATTCATCATGTGTGAAATGTCCGAAGAGAGAACGTGTTACATTAGAACTAGTCTTATGTTCCATGACCTGACAAGAGAGGTGCTATTTAAAGTGTTCAAATGTTTAATAAAAAGTGATGACATCACAGGCTTTCTCTCATCTCTAGAGCAGCAAAATAAATTGAGGGAACTTTTGAAAAGTAATGTCCTAAACGTACATGATTTTAATCTTGTTTCTGGTCAAGTTTTAAATCTAGAGAGATTCGATATTTCTCTTTTAGTAAGACTTATATTAAACTTGTGTAAAGATAAAATACCAAAACCACAGCACGGTTGGAAAACTAAACCACATCCGAAAGACGAAAGTCTTGGTGCTGATCTTCGTCGATTGAGGGATGTCAGAAATAAGATTATAGGTCATAGGGCGATTGCTAAATTGTCAGAGGCAGAGTATGAAAAGACGTGGGCAAAAATCAAAGCTATCTTATTGAGAGTGGTTGAACTTGTTGACTCGAAGTCTAGTGAAAACTTTGAACGAAGAATAAATGAATACAGACGACTAAATGTAGATACAGAGAATGCTGATGTTAAGAGGTTACTGGATGAGTTTCTTAACTACAACAAAGAAATTGATGATATTCAAGAAAAGGTCAATTCTTCTATTTTATTTTAAACCAATATTAGCAATATTAATTTCTAAATATTTGTAAGTTTAATAATGGGAGATAAATTACACATTTAAACTGTGACTTATATTTAATTACATGTTACTTTGATTTCTGATAAGTTTGCAAGCCACCGTTACTCTAGTCAAAATGGCTGAATGATAATTTAACTAAATCATGTACAGTATCTTCAATCCGATAAATAAAGATATTTGCGTTGAAATTCATTTTTAAATACTTTCTATTTCAGGTTGAAAAATTGAGTAGAAGATCATATGGTTAGTATTTAAAATTTCCCTCTTTTGTTCATTATATTACTATTGTCTTGGCGCGGATTAATATAATATTGCCATGTACCATTTCTTTATTCGTGTACTTAAAACTTTAAACGTGTTCTCTCTCTCTCTCTCCCTCTCTCTCTCTCTCTCTCTCTCTCTCTCTCTCTCTCTCTCTCTCTCTCTCTCTCTCTCTCTCCCTCTCTCTCTCTCTCTCTCTCTCTCGCTCTATCTCTCTCTCTGTCTTTTAATGAAATGATTAAGATTGATTGACATGTTATTGTAGAGTTTCAGGAATTTTTCCAAAAAACCCCCGAGAGATTTGTACGTTACATAAAACTTTTGTTCGACGGAGGGCGTATCGTGTTATGTGGAATACTGGAAAGGAAGTTGGGTGACCAAGACCTATCGGAATTTCTTGGAAAAAAGAAGGGAACGCTGACTAGAAATATTGGAGAGAAATTTTCCAGTTACCTATACCAGCAAGAGTCTTGTTCAGATTATAAAAACTGGGATATTTTACTTCTGGCATCAGTTTTGCTGCTCACGTTTGATGATGACCTAAGTCTAAACGATACCATGTGTATCAGGAGCATAAAAAGTGCAAGAGTAAATTATGCTACAATTGCCTTGCAGTCTCTAGGGACAGATGCCTTTCTCACTAGTTGGACTGATCTTATCAGTTGCCTAAAACATCTTTCAATCAACATTGCCGAGGACGACAAACAACAAGTTGAACATCTTATTGAGCGTTATAATAAAAAAGACGAAGAAGGGTGTGACGTTGAGGAGTATTTAAAACAGTTAAGACAGTCTGGTGTTGAAGTGAAACCTTTAAACGATGTCTACAAAGGTACATTTATTTATTTCTAAGAATGCATATATTGCTAGGTAACCATAAATATTTTAATAAGTATTTCAAAAATAACAGGTAACACTTTTATCTGCAATGCTTCTTAAACATTTATTTTATTCATGTGTGATAAATGTACAACGTTTTGTGAACAATACACAAAAGTATAAAATTACTAAGTTTTTTTTTCATAGAAACAATTACGGAATTGAAAGATATACTGAACCAGCTGAGCCAAAAACATATCAAGTTTAAAGAAGAACATGGTGAGTATATAAAAGATAAAGTGAAATAAGACATTAGATAAGAATTTAACAATGTCTGCATTTTTTATACATAATACGATTGTTCAATAATCGTGTTTTACAACACACATGTACATACATGTATATCATCACAGTTCAATTTTTCTTCTGCTACCTTTTAGTTTTGAAGTTTAAACTGCTGACAACATGTGAAAATGATGAAATAAAGAAAAGAGCAGTGGACTTACTCGAAATTTACATGCAAGCTTCCATGCAAAATTTAGACCAACCGTCGAGGATTTCAAAGATGAAATATAAATGTAAGTACAAATATGTAAAACCATATTACATTCATCTCTTTGAAGTTTGTTAAAGAAACTCCGAGAGGTCCATGATGCTTTAAACATAATAATTATAAGAAAAGCTTACATAGAACAATTGGTGCACTTTAAACAGGAATATATGCAAAAAATAAACAGAAAAAAACTCAGGAATAAATTGAAAATCGTATTTTGTGCTATTCTTATCCCGATTTGAGTGAAAAGCGTTGGAACTCTTTTTTTCAATTTTTGGTCATTTTTTCACAATCAGAATAATAATTTTTGGAAAACGGGATGAGTGAATGATTTGAAATTTTGCACATTAAACATTGATGTAGGCCTACATCTAGCCTAGGATTCAGGCGTTGATAGTTTTTGCATATTTATAACATGCTCTTTGCTTATAAGTTATTCATAACATATACGCTGTTCCGTATTCGTTCATGGTTTTGACAGTGTCGATTTGCAAAACTGAAGTACATAAAAAATTGACAGACGAGAACCCAGGCTACTATAAGCGCAAATTGCGCAAGAAGTAGCAACTCAATCTGGCCGAAGGCGTGTTAGGCGTCCATTCCACTTCAGTAAGTCCACAAATATACTTTATCGGTGAAATGTCGTGTATTGCAATTTTTCACGGCCCAACAGTGCTATATGTTGCGCTTAAATTTTGTTTAAGTTGGGAATTAAACGTTATTTTTCTCCTACATTTATTTTGTAGAATACGATGAAAATGAAGATGGCCAATTAGAAATTTGTCAAAATGTTTTATTGTGTTATTATTTATGAGCTTTGATTTATATTTAATTGCAAGACGATAACATGTACATTTATACGTCTTTTTAAATGGCTATAACTACATGTATATATATGTTAATCACAAAAGCTTCACTTTTACTTTTTGTGTGGAAGCTATCCAGCTACTTTACGGCCGCAAAACGTCAGTGGTTCTACTCAGATGCCCATTCGTGCCTTTAATAATGCATTGCAGGATACCTGACGTCTTCCTCCACCAGTAAAACAAGAAAGTCGCAGAATGACTTATACTGTGTCGGTTTGACGTAAAACCCAATTAAAAAACCAAACAAATACTTCATTTTCTCGCTTATCCTGCTAGTTTACATTGTGAGTAACATAAAATAATATTATATTTTGTTCTCGAAAAGAATTTACTTTGATTCATAAGTCAAATGTAATTGATCTTTATACAGACATTGTCGTAAGATTGTTCTTTTAGTATTGTCTAGAACCATTAATCATTGTAAAAACTTTTTCAATAGTATTATCGATGGAAATTCTAGAATAGGTTTTCACCCCGCAATTGCAAGCTATAAGTATTTTTTGCAAAAAAACCTCTCTATCTGTAATTTCGAAACACTTAAGTGGTTACTGTTAAAACATAGCTCACCCTAATGGTAATTGTTATTCTAAGACACACTTAAGTGGTAACATTTATAATACAGCATACTTTAGTGGTTATTGTTTTCATACAGCATACTTTAGTTGTTACTGATTTCCTACATCATACAGGACACTTCAGAGGTAACTGATTCAAGCTACACACTTCAGTGATAACTATTTTCGTACATCACACATGAGTGGTTACTGTTTCCATACAACACACTTTATTGGACAATTTGTTTATACAACGCACTTTTGTGGTTACTGTTTTAATACAACACACTTGAGTGGTTACTATTTTCTTGCAGCGTACCTTAGTGGTCACTTTAGTGTTTTTACTATTTTCATGTTTCACACTTGAGTGATTACTCTTTTCGTACAGCACACATAAGATGTTACAGTTTTCATACAGTAGACTTTATTGAACTCTTTTTTTATGCAACACACTTGAGTGGTTGCTGTTTTTATACAGCACAATTGAGTGGTTACTGTTTTCATACAGCACATTTTAGTGGTTACTGTTTTTCATACAACACACTACGCTGGTTACTGTTTTTCATACAGTAGACTTTATTGGACTCTGTTTTATGCAACACATTTAAGTGGTTATTGTCTTCATGTAGCACACTTAAGTAGTTACTATTTCCATACAGCACATTTTAGTGGTTACTGTTTTTCATACAACACACTACGCTGGTTACTGTTTTCATACAGTAGACTTTATTGGACTCTGTTTTTAAGCAACACATTTAAGTGGTTATTGTCTTCATGTAGCACACTTAAGTAGTTACTATTTCCATACAGCACACTTTAGTGTTTACTGTTTTCATACAACACACTTTAGTGGTTACTGTTTTCATACAACAAACTTTAGTTGTAAACAGTACTATTTTTAATTAGCACACTTAAGTGGTTATTGTTTTCAAACAGCACACTTGAGTGGTTAGTGTTTTCAAACAACACATTTTTATGGTTTCTGTTTTCATACTGCACACTGTAGTGATTATTTTCTTCATGCATCATTAGTAAGTGGTAACTTGTTTTCAAAAAACAAACTTAAGTGGTTACTGTTTTCATACAACACACTTGAGTCGTTACTGTTTTCATACAACACACTTTATTAGTTACTCTGTTCATACAGTACACTTAAGGGATTAAAGTTTTTATACAGCACATTTCAGTGGTTATTGTTTTCAAACAACACACTTCAGTTTTTACTGTTTTCTCACACTACACTTTAATGGTAACTGTTTTCGTACAGCACACTTAAGTTGTTACTGTTTGTTTTATTACAGCACACTTTATTGTATTCTTTTTTTATACAACACACTTTTGTGGTTACTATTTTCTATCCAACACACATAAGTGGTTATTTTTCATCCAACACACTTTAGCGGTTATTGTTTTCATACAACACGCACGTTAGTGGTTACTTTTTTCTTACTATACACTTGAGTGGTTACTATTTTTCAAACAACATACTTTATTGGTTTCATACATGACAATTTAGTGGTTACTCTTTTCATAAATCACATTTCGGTGGTTACTGATTTGATAGTGAACAATGTAGTGGTTTATGTCTTCATGCAGCACACTTAAGTGGATATTATTTTCATACAGCACAATTTAGTGGTTACAGTTGAATACAACGCACTTGAATGGTTACTGTTTTCATACTGCACACATACGTGGTTACTGTTTTCATGCAGCATACTTCGTGTTAACTGTTTTCTTAAAACACACTTTAGTGGTTACTGTTTTTATACAACACACTTGAGTGATTACTGTTTTCATACAACACACATAAGGGGTTATTGTTTTCATCATGCACACTTGAGTGGTTACTGTTTTCATACAACATACTTTAGTGGTTACACTTTTCATACAGCACACTTGAGGGGTTATTGTTTTCATACAAGCTACTTAACTGGTAGCTGTTTTCAGACATGACATTTTAGTCGTTATTGATTTAATGCTACACACTGGAGTGATAACTCTTCTCCTTCAGCACACTTTAATGGTTACTGTTTGCATACAACACACTTCAGAGGTTATTTTTTGATACTGCACATTGTAAAGGTTATAGTCTTCATGCAGCTAACAAAAGTGGTTACTGTTTTCATACAGCACACTTCAGTGGTTATAGTTTTCATGCAACGCAATTGATTGGTTACTGTTTTTATGCAGTAGTTTTAGTGGTAACTGTTGTCTTAAACACACTGTAGTGGTTACTGTTTTCAGACAACATACTTAAGTAGTTACTGTTTTCTTAAAACACACTTGAGTGGTTACTCTTTTCATACAGCACACTTAAGTGGTGACTGTTTTCCAGCTGATCACGTAAGTGGTTACTGTTTTCATAGAGGACACTTTAGTTGTTACTCTTTTCATACTACACTAATGACTGGTCACTGGTTTCATACAACACAATTTAGTGGTTACTCTTTTATACATTACACGTAATGGGGTTACTCTTGAGATGCAGCACACTTTAGTGGCTACTGTTTTATACAATATACTTGAGTGGTAACTGTTTTCATAAAACACACTCTAGTAGTTACTGATTTCATACAACATACTTTAGTGGTTACTGTTTTCATACAACCCACTTAATAGGTAGATGTTATCAAACAGTACACTTCAGATGTTACATTTTTCATACAGTACACTTAAGTTGTAACTGTTTTCATACTAACCACTTTAGTAGTAACTGTTTTCATACAACACACTTAAATTTTTTTTTTTTTCATACAGCACACTTAAGAGGTAACTGTCTTCATACTGCACACTTTATTAGTTACTGTTTCCATACAGCATACTTTACTGGTTACTGTTTTCATACAAACACTCTAGTTGTTACTGTTTCCATACAACACAATTTTGGTTATTGTTTTCATATATCACCTTTAACAAGTTACTCTTTTCATACAGCACACTTAACTGGTGACTGTTTTCCAGCTGATCACTTAAGTGGTTACTGTTTTCATAGAGGACACTTTAGTTGTTACTCTTTTCATACTACACTAATGACTGGTCACTGGTTTCATACAACACAATTTTAGTGGTTACTCTTTTATACATTACACGTAATGGGGTTACTCTTGAGATGCAGCACACTTTAGTGGCTACTGTTTTATACAATATACTTGAGTGGTAACTGTTTTCATAAAAACACACCCTAGTAGTTACTGATTTCATACAACATACTTTTAGTGGTTACTGTTTTCATACAACCCACTTAATAGGTAGATGTTATCAAACAGTACACTTCAGATGTTACATTTTTCATACAGTACACTTAAGTTGTAACTGTTTTCATACTAACCACTTTAGTAGTAACTGTTTTCATACAACACACTTAAATGTTATTTTTTTTCATACAGCACACTTAAGAGGTAACTGTCTTCATACTGCACACTTTATTAGTTACTGTTTCCATACAGCATACTTTACTGGTTACTGTTTTCATACAAACACTCTAGTTGTTACTGTTTCCATACAACACAATTTTGGTTATTGTTTTTATATAGCACCTTTAACAAGTTACTCTTTTCATACAGCACACTTAAGTGGTGACTGTTTTCCAGCTGATCACTTAA